CCCTTTGACGACGTTCAAACAAATTAAGAGTGAAAATTACCTTTAAAATATTCTTTGGAGTCAAACGTCGAATAATCTAATGCAGGTTTTTACCTGACAAGCTTACGGAAATGCTTGCTGCGACTACTCGAATGAAAGCTACTGGACAGTATATTATTTTTTGGTCGGATCAGTGCCCTGCAAAGTGGTAGAAACATCGGAGTCTCTAGGCGAAATTTTTATGTGCGATTATTCAAATGACAGCTACTGAGCAGTACTTTCGGTTGGTACAGTTTGCTACACCGTGCATGCTCTTAGCTCTTGAGTGTGAATGAAAACCTGACGAGTGCCCATTCAAATAAAATCAACTGGGGCACTTTGCTGTGATACTGCTTCGAGTCTGTGGGTGAAATCATTAAGTGTGACCATTCAAATGAAATTTACTGAGCGTACCCTTCCTGCGCTAATGTCTTTGAAGCTATACAAGGTTAGACTCTCTGTATGAAATCCTTCAGTGGGACGGTTAAAATGAAAGCTATGGGGTGGTAGTTTCTGGTGGCACTGTTTGCGATGCTATTACAAAATGGTTCTACTTTTTATGTCTCAAGAATTAGCCTTATAAACAAAAGGCACTACGTAGAACTTTTCGACCTCTCTTCTCTGTTTTTTTCTTGGCTTTTGAACCCGTGAGTGACATCTGTGTCAATGAAATCGTGATTTTTATTTGAACTAAGTTATTATTATTGGCCAAGATACAAATGCCCTTCTCAATAAATCAACGTGGTGTGATCACACAAATATATGTTGGGCAGGTCGTTTTTTCAATTTAGTGGCTTATATTATTAGGTCAGAATAAAAGATAGCTCCGCGCACCACAATGCAAATAATTCACCGCATGACATTGTATCCCATGCAAATTATTTAACAGGTGCGCGCATACAAAGAAAGCCGAACCCATGTAGCGAATCGAGGACAATGACAATTGAAAAAGAGTTGAAATGAGATATTCTACTTAAGAGGGCGACTCTTAACGAGACGTGGAGGAAGACCAGTTTTAGCGGAGAGCAAAGGGGAGTTAACTAAGGGACAATTTTGGCAACATTAAACAAAAACACAAGCTGAAACTAAGGAACACGCCGGGTTTGTTCACCGATTTACAGGGAAAAGGTGATGAGTTTCCTTGGGTATTGTACAAGTGGGATTTAAGGGCGTCGCTTGCGTTTGATGTTCGTTTTACTACCAAGATCTGTCTTGATCCAAAGTGGAGTATATTGTCTGTTAGAGGGTTCGTAATAAAATAACTGAGACGCTGAAGTTGAATTCGCTTGCAGAGAAAGAAAGTGATTTAATGTAAATATGACCCTGATTTGGTTGTAAAGAAAAGAGAGTAACAGAAGCGACGGAGATTCATTCATTCGACTTGATTGGTGGGCATGCGATAAAATCAGTCAAATCAGTGGTGGACTGGCAAACCGGATAGCCGCTACTTTGAGACAGATCAGCTACACAAAACTCCGACTCACACTGAAGGTACGTTTTCGGGGTTTAAGGCGACAAGAAGAACAAAAGTTCATATCAGTCGTAAAGGGTGTGCGCTTACAAACCAGTTCAAGGGACTGAACACGTAGCACTTGAGTAAGACAATATCGAAGAACAGTCCAGTAATTACAGAAACAAAGATGAATACAACGACTAATTCAACCGATACGGGACAGGCAGGTCTCGAAACAGCGTTTTTAATCTCGGGAATATTTCTATCTGTGGTATGCCCGCTAACAGTGCTAGCCAACAGTCTCCTCATAGTAGCAATATTCAGGGACCCGTTGAAAACATTCCGCACGCCAGCGTCCTGCTTTCTCATCGGTTTGGCCATCACAGATTTGGTGACCGGTCTTGTTCCTGAGCCTATGGTAACCGCCTGCTACTTCATGAATTATAACCAACACCCCAATGTCGCCCAGTGCTCCAAAATATTTGAAACTGCAGGCATTGTCGCTGCTATTACCACCAATGCGTCTTATTTCATCGTCCTGGCGTTCACCACCACCCAATATGTAGCTGTCGCGTTTCCACTCAAGTTCAATCGACTGATAAGTGTTCGTAAAACCATGGCCTGTGTCGCGATTATCCTGCTATACGCTACACTATTCGAGCTGACAAGACTTATGGGCGTCCCTCAAGAGATCGTAGAAAAAATAGACCTGCATTTGCATTCGACATTCTCGCTGCTCTTAACTATAATCATTTATCTGCTGCTTCAGAAGGCTTTCCATTCGCAAATGGCGGAACGCTCTACCACGTTGAGTACTACAAACACGCAGAGCATGCAGTTGTCAGAAGAGCGGCTAGACGCAATTCCCAAAGAACAAGATCAGAAAAGACGTCGGCCGGCAGTGGAGAAAAATTTTGTCCGCCTCAATCTTCTTCTGATTATGATTCTACTCGTGTGTTCGCAGCCAAGTGCCATACTGTGGTATGTTTATCTCTACGGGGAGGAAGCCATCAAGAAAAGCCAAACGCTGTTTTACATCCGAGTCACAGTTGAGAACACGCTGTACTTGAAGTTCCTTCTGGATCCGTTTGTGTTCGCCTGGAGGCTGCCAAAGTACCGCAAGGCTCTAAAAAGAGCATTTTACCGAGATGGGTAGAGGAGTAGAGGAAGATACTGGAACAACTAGGGCAGAGGGTGTGGTGCCTCCGCCCCCTCGATCTCCAATAAAATCGAAACAAAAAACAAACACCTCTACTAGCCCCACTCGCTGAATGCGCACATCAGATCGGTGGATTATTATTTTTATTACTATTTTAAGTGGCAGTTTTTCGAGATCTTTCCTATGTTTTTGAGCAAAAGACGCTAAAATTATTTACGCGTACGCTCGCTGATACATAAAAATGGCCCTCGAACAACAGGAAAAGTCGTAAGGCGCGAGCAAGCTCTTGACTAACAAGTTTGAATATATTTTCTTTTCTTTTTGTTTTGTATAACGTTAACTTGCATTAACCATTCTGAAATGGCCGACGTTCTGAAGTTTGACAACAATTCTTGCCTAGAATACGCCCTTCGCTAAACCTTTGGACAGTTCTCATATACTATAGTAGAATAACATTTTCAACAAAGTTTAGATGCTTTACGCAGATTATAAATGTTTAAATCACTTCGGTTGTATTTTCAAATGACAATATAATCAGTATATAGATGCTTCGAAACTTAAATTGCTACCGACGGATGATCGAATGCAAGATTTTAAGTAGTTTAATAGAATTTAATGACAGCGTGATAGCCAAAAAGGGTGGAAACGATGCGTCATAAAACCTGTGCTCACAAACTGTTCACAAGTTTGGGCTCCGCATAAAATTCCTGCGTCCGCCCAAGAAACTGTATCTGGTGCTAAGGATAAATACGGCTGATTTAAGGAGGCTACGGCTTAACCCTTTAAGCCTCAATATCTACAAATAAATTCTCCAAACTGACCTCTATACATTTCCTTACAGAATTAGTTGGGAGAAATTGATAAAAGATCAGAGATTTTTCTCTTTGTGATCATTTGATTAATTCTCATAGATGTTGCACTTGACATTGTATGGATATTGTTAGGAGAAAATTGATGATGGTCACTATTGGGACTTAAATGGTTAATGAAACATTTCCTAATTTGTGGCTTGTCAAAGTACCACAAGAATCTGAATTGAGCACTTTATCAAGATAAGTAGGAGGAACTGGAACTCGAAATAAGTGCAAATAAATTGGCTATGCCTTGGTAAAACACTTCGTAATTTGTGGTTTTTAAAAGTACCACAAGGCTCTGAATATAGGACTTAAACGACAACAACGATAACATCAAAAAACAACTGGTTTTGTCAGCGAAACAACAGCTCTGCACGTGCATCACGCTTTTTAGTACATTTCTTTGACGACCACTGCACTGAATAAAGAACTTCTTTTTAGATGAGTGAAAGAGAAAACAGAGCTCGATCAGCGTTATGTAGTAATAGGTAAAATAAAGAGGTTATGCTTTTGTGTAATACATGTAGTTCTTCATTGTACGCTGCCTAAAGAAGCGCATTCGAACGAAACTGTAGCGCAATTTCCAACAGATAAGGACTTACTCCTCTGAAGAGAGCTCGTTTGGGGGGGCGGGTCGGGGGGAGCTTTAGCATCGATGACGGCGACGGCGACGGCAGCGGAAACGTCACTTTTAAACATGAATTCGAGTTTTGTCAAACTTGATCGCGTTAACTCCAATTCGCTGAAAATGTCAAATGTAGGCGAATTTCCCTGGATATGATTTATTGGGGACCGTACTCATGTTGAGAAACAGAGAGAAAAATTCGTCGTCGCTTGTTTAAGTTCTTCTAAAAACGTGAATTCGGGCATTTTCACGAAGTAGTCGTGCAGTGACGACAAAGAAATGCACAAAAAAGTGTTACCGTATTTACTCGATTAAACGCCGCCCTCGAACAAACGCCGCAGATGGAAGCAAAATTACCAATAAACGCCGCGCTCCAGTAAACGCCGCACCTAATCAGAAGAATGCGGTGTCTATTAGAGGATACGGTACAACTTGGTAATTTACATCATCCAAACATTTACGATTCTTTCTCAGCAAAATAAGAGAGACATTGGAACCTTTAAATTACATAGCATTTACAAACGATTTACAATAACTGTTGTCAGTGATTTTAAAAAAAGTGATTTCGAAATAAATGCCGCCCTTGAATAAACGCTGCATTGGAAACGCTAAAAAAACGCCGCGGCGTTTAATCCAATAAATACGGTATGCGCGTACGAAGTTGTTGTTTTGCTTAATAAACCTACTGCTTTTTTGACGTTCTTGTTGCCGTCGCCGTCGCCGTTTCTTCAGCTTCCTATTGTTGAGAAAGGAAAGAAAAGAAGATGATTGTATAACATTCACACGTACCTCGTGTTCCTTGATGTCAAGGGGATTGTGGTGTTTCCAAAGGACAAGGCTGTGAAACTTCTCTACTTTAAATGTGTTCGATACTAAAGCAGCAAACAAATATGAAAAAAAAAATTAATAACCTAAATTAAGTTAACCTTTCTTGCTTACTGGATACTTTCTGGATCATGAAAATTACAAAAGAAAAGAGCAAGTTAATGTAGGAGGAAATGAAAGGTCGTAAACGTCCATCGAACTGTCTTTACACATGGTCAAACTTATGCCACGTTCACACCAACTAAACACGTTTAATTAAACCAGGTTTTAAAACATGAACAGACACGCAAAAGTGGAACACAGGCTTTTACACAGGATTCAAATAAAGTTCAAAATTCTTTGTAATTTGCTCTAAATTAGCAATCAACTTAAGTCAGAAAGCAGCGTTTATGAAAGAAAAATTTTAATCCGTGTTTAACTAAACAGCTTAAACATGTTCAAGCTTGGGTGTGAATGGGGCTTTAGTCTGCGACATTAGAAACCATTAGACCTCAGATCTCTTTCTGACTGAGCCATTTTAAGAAAAAAAAATAATGCTTTTCGAGTAAACACGACATGCTTTCTTGGATATGTTCACGGGGAATGACAAGCAGCGTTTAGATGTTAGCGTTGGGAAAACTAAAAAAATAGGATTTATAATGACGCCGGTTCGTTAAACATTGGCTAGACTCCGTTTTAAGAACCAGTAATTGGTCTCTAAAGAACAATTTTCAAGCTTTATAAGAAGCCAAGCCTTCTGGAGAGGAATAACTTACCCGAAACTGTATACTGTGATTCCACTCTACCGAAAGGATCTTGCGCAGTGTTGCTACAAAAAAAAAAAAGTAAAACAACTCAATTCATCACACCCAAACGAACAAACTACACCATTTTGTTACCTCTGCGTCCTGCGTCAATGACGCATAAAAATCCCCGAAGACGCAAAATAATAAATTATTTGAGGTGTGCGTCCCGTAGGACGCAAAGATCGATTGATCGATCTGAAGATGTTTTCATAGAATATCCTTTTTGTGTGATTTCTGTGGCTGCTGTTGAACGACGCTTATTTCTTTTAGTCCTTTTTGTGATTTGCAATAGAAGGAGTATATTTTTATTTCCGTAAACTGTAATACAGAGTTTTGGAGTCTGTCTTCAGACAAACTGTGAGGTTAATAATGACCCAGGGACTCATTAGGGCCATCTATACGAGGAAAAATAAGACGCGTCTTAAATAAGACGCGAACTGTACCATTTATACGAGCATGTCTTATCTAAGACGAGAACAGCTCGTATAAATGGTTCGCGTCTCGTTCGCGTCTCATTTCTGTTCTTGACTCGTTTTCATGTGAATGTTGTCCGTAGCAACAGCAACCCAACGTGGCGCGCCAAAAATTAACGCATGCGTATTACGCGTTCGCATCTTATTTAAGACGCGAAGGTCATTCATACGAAGTTTTTCTTGTCTTTGCTAAGACGCGTCTTATCTAAGAACAGGTGTTACGGGCTGTTCTAAAGCTAAGCTTAGCCAAGCCGCGTCTTATTTTAGACGAAATGCGCCGTTTATACGGAAAGTTCGCGTCTTATTTAAGACGCATCCTATGTAAGACGCCGTCTTATTTTAGAACAGCCCTTAACACCTGTTCTTAGAGAAGACGCGTCTTAGCTAAGACGAGAAAACCTTCGTATAAATGACCTTCGCATCTTACATAAGACGCGAACGCATATTACGCATACTTTAATTTTTGGCGCGCCACGTTGGATTGCCGTTGCTACGGGCAACATTCACATGAAAACGAGTCAAGAACAGAACTAAGACGCAAACCATTTATACCAGCTGTTCTCGTCTTAGATAAGACATGCTCGTAGAAACGGTAAAGTTCGCGTCTTATTTAAGACGCGTCTTATTTTTCCTCGTATAAATGGCCCTAATGGCTCTGGACTGGGACTCCTGATTTTTCACAAGATGAGTCCTAGGACTCACCATAACTATTTGTAACAAAATCACTCACTTACGTTTTATATTGACAAAAATCGCAGTCATTTATAGTGGCCTGCACAATTTCTGCGACACTGAAAAGAAAAATGTACAGATACGTTAGGTGTAAATGTAGACTAGGTGTCCTCCATTATACTGGTCAGACAAAAACCAGCGAGACGTACTAACAAAAACGACTAAATGACCATTTATTTTAAAAACTTCACGTCGTCCCATTTGGTCTGTAATCATCCGAGAGAGTAAACAACGTGGTTTTTAAATTTTGTTAATTACTCGTATGATAACAGACCAAATTGGACTCTACCCAGTCCTATTGCCATTATTTATTTTATCTAATTATTACAGTAAGTTTCAAATAAGAAACCATGATTGAACCAGAAAGCTAAAATACTAACTATTTCTTTGTGTCTGCCGTTGCTCCCCCTCCAGCTCCGGGTCGCTTTGCTCGAAGAGGATTAAAAACAGTTGATTCCTGAGTGTATAAGTTGTCTACAGATGTGATAAGCTGAAAAATAAAAACACAGAAAAGCAGTGTTAAATCAATTTGGGTAAATAAGCCAATAATGACTGAATTAACCAATCACCAATCAGATCTCCAAAAACTCAATACCTCAAAAACTTTTTTCCCGGGGCCCATTGGAGGTGGACCTGTAAGATGGGAAGGGGGGGGAGGGGGAGGGAGGGGGAAGAGAATCGCACATGACAATGAGGAAGATTCCCATTGTCTCCCTTAGGGGTAGAAACTGTAGATTTTGGTTTCACTTAGGATGTTGGAACGGAAGACCCATATACATGTATTTACCCAAAAAGGCATTGCTTTGAGTTGTGTGTAAAGAGGTTCCTACAATCAATGCTACCATTCTGTGTTGGAGTATGGTCTCCCAAGGGTTTCAATAAGCACCGATGACTGACAAAACACGTCGGCTACTTTGCTCAGAGAAGTCGGTCACTTTTTTCCCCTCTTGGGGGGTAGCTGGAAATAATTCTGTCAAAACTTACATTAAATTTGCTGGACCTAGATACATGCACATGTAGACATTTTGCTTGAGATTTAAAAATAATCTTTTGTTCTCAATTTACGCTGAAAATTGCACTTTAGGACATTTAAAGTTTTTTGCATTTACTAGGGGAGCATGCCCCCAGACCCCTCTGGAAGAAGGGGACTAAAAGCCTCTTGTTGATACAGTTGGTTACTTTTTTCAAACCTGCTGGCTACTTCAATTGTTATTTAAACCCACTGGTCTCCTTTAGGAGAAAAATTCTAACTTTCCAATGGGCATCCCCATCATCATCAGTACCCCCCACCCTGCCCCCCTGCTCCCCACCAAGGGGACCACTGCAGTTTTGCCATATCCATAAGATAGGGCACCATACTAGGGCACACAATGTGCTGCGCTGACATTTCAGAAAAGATGACAGGGTTATTGGTAGCATTACCCGGAGCATGTGCACATAAAAGCTGTATTTAGACTGTACCTGTAAACTTGCTTCTTCTAACAGCTTTTTCTTACCACCAAGCCATTTAAGAACCTGTAAAAATCAAAGCAAACTCATCGGCAAAGACATACAACTTCAGTAACTATGTGTGGTCAAATTCACACCAATGCAGTACATGAAAGCCACACATATAAACCACAGGCAGGCCATAATATAACCATAAAAGGGGCAAAGTGTATGATGACAAAAAAGTTATTTTTATCCTTCCATGAAAGCAAAGGAGTCATGTTGTCAGTTAGGTTTGTTCCCAGCAAAATTAATTCTCAGTTTCAGCAAAACCTCGCTCTTCAGTACTTTAACAGTATTCCACATGATACTACATGTATTTGTGTCCCAGAGTTTCCTTCAAAATGAAATCAAAGATTCTTTGACATTTGAAGTTCTGCATAACCTGGGGAAGATTTAAATTTTTGTGTTGTTTTAAAAATACAAATTCATGGAACTAAAACAGTTCAGCTAAATCCTACCTTGGGGGCAAATGTTTCAGGTATTACAACTGGAGCACTTCGACTTCTTACAATATAAATATCACTAAATTTCATATATAAATCCCTGAAAGAGAGAACAAACCAACATGAAAAACTTTTATAGGAACATTTAAGGTGGCAAAGAGTGCACTCTATTCACTCAAAATGTCTGAAAATTTTAGTTCAGTCTAATCAAATAGATTCAATTTTGGTTCAACTGTAAAAGCTTTAGGCAGTTGTCTCGTTGAAAAAGGAAAAGCGGTATTAAATTATCACCCCATGAAAGGAAATAAGGAGTCCAGAATCCAAGAAATTTTTGATTGGGGAATCTAGAATCTAGGAACATTTTGCTTGTGGAATCCAGAATCCTAGGCTTTGGAATCTGGAATACAGCTCAAGGAATCTGGAGTCCCATTAAAGATTTGAATCTGGGATCTAATTTCCACTGACTAAGTCTGGAATCCAGTATGTCTAGAATCCAAAATCCACAAGGAGGAGTCCAGAATACAGACTGTCAGATTCTCTTACATGGAGTGAATTTTAATATTACAGTTAAACCTGTATATAACGGCTCTGTATTAAGCAGCCACCCTCTATTAAGCAACCAGTTTTCAAAGTCCCAATTTTTCACTCATACAAACCCTGTATTAATTTTTGTTGCCTGTATTAAGCGGCCACCATCGAACCGAAACTAAGCCATAAATGTACATGTATGTCACTTTGTGTTACTTTAAATTAGCAACATTTACATTATAAAAATTCTTATTCTAGTACGAAATTTCAGTCTGGCATGTATCATGTAAACAAAAAATGAACTTTGTTCTAAATTGAAAACTCCAAACCATGTAGTCTGGAGCGAGTGGTGCATGCGTATCTGATCTCGTGCAAAAACCACACGAGCAAGAAAGCCTTCGGCTGAGCCATTTGATTTTATAATGTGAGAACAGTAAGAACCTCACTCTGGAACTAAACTCATTCCAGAAGGAAAGTTATTCCTGTATCATGTGAAAAGCCCCTTACCCTTACTGACTGAATGCCTGCAGTATGCTGATAAAGACCTGCAGTACACAGTAGAAATGTCACGATCAATAATAAATCGAACTCCAAGTTACATAGTTACCTACCTACAATTTGTACCAAGAGAGTTTTTCCATGTATCTACGACTGAATTAATATTTTCTATCCCTGTATTCAGTGTTGATGTTTCCAGGCAGTTATTGTTGAACCACAACTGTTAAAAGAAATTGAAATATAACAGCAAGATATCATCAACTAAATTTTCTACTTGCATGTACATGTACATAAATGTAAGGAGTTCCTAATGAGGTGGTATTCCATAAAAATGTATAGCAAAAAGTGTCCAATGTTTTAAAAAACATACATTTCTTGTGTATTACCCTTCTTCAGTGTGAAGAAAACTCGTCATTTTGTAAATGGTTTTCCTCACTCTATGGAATATCACCTCATCAGCTATATAGCATTGCTGTCAACTCTTCCGGAAAATCCAGAGTCTCCAGATAATCTGGAGACGCCAGATTTTTGACCACATCTCCCAGTCTCCAGATTAGAGAATAAAAAATTTAATATTGTGGAATTTAATATTGTGAATTTCTTCAGTAGAGTCGTTGGAGCTATTTTGATGCTAACATATTTGAACGTTTCCTCATCAACTCCAGTATGCCATTGTAAATAAAATATAATAATCACCATTAGGAAGGTGGAAACTTAAACCGATACTCTTTTGTGTAACAATGGATGAAATCTGCCCATAAACTGAGGAAATTTGGCAAATGTGAGATGTGACGTTTTAACTGGACCTTAAAGCATCACACCAAAGCAACTTTCAAAAGGTAACTGACAATTTAGTCCAAGGAAACTCACAGTGGTTCTAAATGTGGGGTTCCTTAAAACTATTTAAACAAATTTAATGCTTATCTATTCTTCTGGCTCACTTGCATAGCATTCAAGACAGGTAGAAAAGTGATGTTTTATGCGGGGAAAGTGTAATTTATTACACAAATCACTAACAGCATGAAGACAAAGACATCATTTCTATGGTAGCCAAATATCATGCCACTCAGTAAATATTTACACTGAAAATTTCAGAGATAAAGGGGTAAAATTCAACACATGTTAACAAAAAGCCCTGAATTAAATAACCTGTAGTCAAAGCTTTTTTTTTGGTTCTGTTTCCTAAAAAATGAAAGAAAAGATGAAGGATGCCAAACACTTTCCAGTGGCACAATTGAGCAGTTGTCCTTTCCTTTCCAGGTTGCACAAAAATAAAAACAGAGCCGTAAACTTGATTTGTGGCTCTCAGCCCAAGTAATAAAGATCAGTCCTTTACCAAGCTGTATTCAGGATGGGCTATAATAATTTTCTATTGCCACAGCTGTCTTTGAAAAGTTTTATGAAGAAAGACAGCTGATCACTTGTGCGCCTTCCAAGGCTGAAGGATTGTTGCCATGTTGTGAATTTCTAGAACACCATACTTGGGATTGTAAATTTCCAAACGTTTCTCTTTGTTCCTTTTTGGGGTCCATCAAGGTTGATTCGCACTGAAGCAGCAATATTATAATTTGTACTCTTATTATAATATACATTATAAATTAATCATAAAAATGATAAATTAAGGGATGGTTGAGCAACCGCTTCCTAATTATTCTTAACAACAACCCAAACTTTTCTTACTCACAATGTAAAGTTAGTAACAGAGCATACTTCCATGTTTTTAATTCAAACAACACCTAAGAATACATCTTGAGGAATTTTTTAGAAGAGGGTTCAAAGTCTTGATACAGATTGTTGGTTTTCTTTGAGTCGACATGCATACAGGTACATGTCTGACATAATTGCTGGTTTAGTGACTGAAGACCAAACTTTAATTATTGTCAAGCTATAGAAATTTCGATTAAAATACAAGTTTAAAACGAGTAACCTTATGTGACTCGTAATTAAGAAGAACATATAAAGAGAAAGAAACCTTCAAATTGTCATTAAGACTACAGGCACTCGAGCGGGCGGGCTGAACATGAACTAGAGAAGCCGCCACGATGTACTTTCACAACTTTCAACAGTCACGAAACAGTTATTTAACGAAACCTAAGTCTACTTACGTGATCGAACTGCACAGAATTATTGTACATTTGATATTTGAGATTGCCCTTGTCGAGGGACTCGTGCCCGGCAGTATTCGACTGTGCGTGAGTCGTGGACACGATCAAGGCGGTGAAAGGTTTAAAAGGCTTCGGACGAGAATTAAAATATAAAGCGATGAGAAAGACAGCTATAAGAACAGCAGCAACCAAAATCGACTTTTGTTTCCTATGTCCAACCATGAAGCTTCCACAAGACTCTCCTCCAACCTTTGCACGCATCGCAGACAATCGAAATATAAAAAGCGTGACATTACTTCACGCTTTCAAAAACACTTGTCCTTTCCAATTCATCGTTCATTTTCGTAATTCTTCGGAAAACTCCGGTTGATCTTCGTCAATAGTACCCAGTCTTTCAGTCAGGTGGTGACCCTTCCAAAAAAGAAGATGGCGGTTCGATGAGACTTGCGATTTCACTACGATTGCAGTTTTAGTTAGTGGAAATGGACGCCTCTTCGCAAGGATCCGTTACAAAGTCTTCGTCAAAATTGCACAAAGAAACCCAAGGTGAAGATGCAGAAAGTTGTTCTAGCAAAGACCACCCAATCAGCGAGGAAACGTCAAAACAGTCTACAAGCACTTCTGATCAGACAGGTAAGCTTATAGGAAACTATGTATCACCTGATAAGAGCGATCACATTACAGCATCACCATGCCATAAACATAAAAAAAAATTCATAAAGCATGTAAAATTAAATTATTCCTTGTATTAAATGGTGTTTTTTATCATGAAAGGTGCTTATTTAAAGAGCATAGCAGGCAACCATTGAGAGTTTAGAAAATAAGCTTAATTGTAAGTCACATTATATAAAGTACATGGCTCTTCCTGTAGGTGAGAAATTTCATTCAGTTCCTAAGGGTTGATTTCCCGTGTCGGGTAATTTTTACGTGTGTACGTGCGTAAAATTTACGTTCGCAAATAAAATAGAGGCAATGCAGGAAAGGTCGCCTGTAAGCTTAAAAGTTGAACGTCTCTCAACTTCTTCTTTAAGCTCAGCACTTTTTATCCTGCCTCTATTTTATTTACGTAATTAAAATTTACGTGGGTTAATGTTCATAGCCAAAAACGCGTCAGTGGAAATCCACCTTAAGTAAAACAGGATATTGTCTAAATAACCAGCATGCATCTTCAGCAAGCATTTCCTTTTCTAGCCATAATAAGCTTATTATCCCTTAGGACAAAGGTTTCCCTCAAATTTCCCCAACATCTCACCCCCAGTTTTGCTGTGGTTGCATACAAATCTTGGAGTATGGCCGAGAGAGTTTCTTCGTCAGATGTAATGGGCGATTCCAGAAAATATCTATACCTTACCACGACAGCTTCCATGTTTTAACCCTTCCCCCGTGCCCTCGGAATTTCCCTCGGCACATCTACTTTATGGAAGATAATTCATTGCATACAATGTCTAAGTTAGGACATGTGTAGATCCATGTTGTCATTAAAGTTCTTCATACATTCTAAGTAGCATAGTGCACACAGCAAACATAGAGATCAGAGAATGTGAGAGAGGTTAAAAGCAATGGAAAATCATCAACCATCAAGACAAGCATGATGTGGTATTGGTATTTTATAGATTTTCAACATGGTAGTTCAGTATTTGCCAATTTTTCTTACAGTATTGCAGTATTGGTTAACCCCCTCTATCTACATTGTACATGTATATGATGGGAGGAAATGAAATCAAATGTGAAGACTTTAACATACAGAAACTATTTCTTGATGGTAACTTCAATGTGGGCCTTCAAGTATGGTCAGATTTCCATGTCCAACCACCACACATAATGATAACCACGTCTCAGAATGGAAGTCGCAAGTAATAGACTACCTTATTCACAATACCAGCTATTTTTGCGTACCCTTTTATTTTGATGGGAGATATTTGGGAGCTTTAGCAGAGGTATTTTTGAGTGACGCACTTCAACCGGAAATGAGGTCTTTTCCCTTTTAAATATGCCTTGACACTTCAAAATTCGTATTGTAAAGTGTTTTAACTCTTGCAGAGACTGATACTTGCCGAAACATTTGGGCAAAACCACCGCTCAAGAATAAAAAAAATCCATATTTTCCAGTTAAGGTACATTGCTGAAAAACGTCTTTGCTTAGCTCCAGGCTATTGTCACTTACAGTGTATCTGCCCCCTGAGAAACCATTTCGCATTAGTCCTTAAGTGGGTGGAAAGATGGCAGGTGTTGGGAGTAACGTCTGTTACTAAACCCGGGGTGCAAAGAAAATCATTTTTACAGCTTGCCATTCAGGCACGCTGAAGCTAGCGTTTACTAGCCCAGACATCATTTCAGGTAGCCCCAAAAACTTTTTGACTAGCAGAATTGATTTCACAGTTCTTCTGTTATTCAAATTCCTCAAAAAACATCACTTGCCCATCGGGACAAGTTAAAAACAGAATTCACTAGCCCGATAGCAAAATCCACTAGCCCCGGGCTATCAGACACTTTCTTTCCTTGCAACTTCAAATGGTTACTCTTAGGCCCAAGAGAAACCAACGTCAATTTTGTCCTAACAATTATCAATACATCACGAAAAGAAAAAGTTATGAGAATGATTTAATATAATGATCACTTGGTGGAAAATGGTTTGATCTTTCACTAATTTCTGTCAAATAACTCTTTAAGGAAATCTTTGTTGATCAGCTAGGATAATTTGTAACGGGATTTTGGGGCTTAACGGATTAAGGGAAGCTTGACTGCGTTTACATATCTGAGTACATGTATACAGTTATTTTGAGAAATGTTGTCAGAAAAAGTGCACATGACAATCCCAAAGGGTGTTCTGAGTGGTTTTGAGTCCACTGTTCTTCAAAGAAATTTGAAAGAATGGCACTAGAAACCAATGGACATATGTTTGGGAGTGCTAAAGGGAAGCAGCAAAAGTAAATTCGACAGCTACAGTCGTCAGGAACAGTGTATTGATCATATCCCATATTACCTTTTGGGATTGTCGCGTACACATTTTTTCGGAAAACCTGTCCTTGAAATAGCTGTATATGTTACAGGTCAAATTTGATTTCAGTTTGGAATTTTTTCAGCTAGTTGATTCTTGATTTCTCGTGGAAATCAAGAAAACCGGGGGAAATTGAGAATTAATCTTGGTTAAATCAAAATTAACCTGAAATCGAATTTTGATAAACAGAATGTATCTCCATTTTTTTTTTCCATCTCTTCTTTGTAGAGCAAAGTGGCAGGAGTGAGAATGAAAAGAGCTCAGTTTGTAAAGAATCATCATCAGCTGCAGCAAATGATGGAGGGATAGAAAGTCATTTAACTGCAGAACTGAAACGAGAAGATTCTCAAATTTCCAGTCCTGCTTCAGAAGTTGCTATGGAGACGAAGGCAGAAAGAACGCTTTCAGCACGAGCTGAAATGGACACTTACGAAGAAATAAATAAGAGTGAGGTTGCATCACTTGACGACTGGGAGAATGTTCACAAGTCATGTCTGTCCGAGATACCACCAGTTGATCCTGAGGTATTGAGCGACTTGGAGCTTAAGGCCGGTGACATTGCCAGAAATCTGGATCACATGCTTACAGCACTTGCGCATACTTTGAAGGCGATGTCGCAAGTAAGCATGGAATGTCTTGGTGTGTATAATTCTTGTGTGGATCATGTGAGTGAAACTGTAGATGAGAACATCAGATCAATGTACCCTCTAATTGCGAGGTGTGAAGAACTGAACGCCAGCTTAAAACCTGTGCAAAACATGGCAGAACAAGTGAAGGAGATTAAGAAAACTTTGGATGCCTTTGAGGCAATTTGCAAATAAAAGAACAGCTAAAGTGTTTTATTTACCATAATTATTTATAGTGATCCTTGGACTAATTTAATTTTTAGGCTAAGTGGTATTGTCTGTTAAGTTAATTCATTCTATAAATCAGTACCACAGTAGGGCTTGAAAAAAACTTGAATCCCATCTTGTCCTTTCGGCAAACAGCTCTTGCATTTTGCTTGCCCAGAGCCACTTCTTGCTTGTCTTAGGGCTAGTGCACTGGAAAAGGTACCTGCCAGCCAAGAAAACCTACTTGTGCAGGACAGGACTGCTGGACGGAACTTTTTTCCAGCCCTGCACAGAAAATGTAAGAAGAAGAAGAAGAATATACGTTCTTATTGAGTGCATGTTCCATCCCCAACACGCTTTACATGGATAAGAAAAAAAGGAAAATAAGAAAAATCTCTAGCCTAGATGACATATTATAATTATATATTGTACACTTTAAAATGCTAGAAAAATGTTAAGAATAAAAATCAATGGAAATATTCCTCGAATAAAAATGTTTCAAGTTTTGTTTTAAGTGTAGCCACACTTTCTGCATTTTTGATATATTCTGGGATAGTGTTCCATAACTGACGTGCTGCAGTGGAAAACGTGGGTCCTCCATATGTTTTGGATTTTATGGCTGGGGTGCATAATAGAGTAATAGAATAATGTTGAGATGCATGCTGATACCAGTATTGCAAATGCAGTCGCTTGTTTACGTCCTCCATAAAACTTGCAATTAGGCATTTTCACGTCGTAGTCGTCCAAGGTCGGTAAGGAAATGTACAAAAAGGCGTGATGCACGTGCAAAGTTGTTGTTTTGCGTAATAAACCTATTGCTTATTTGACGTCCTGGTTGCCGTCGCCGTCGTCGTTGCTAAAGCTCCCTAATGCTAAGCGGCGAAGGCAACGCCGGAGAACGGTGAGAAACAACAATAGGTCTAATTAGCAAAAAAGCAACTTTGCACGTGCAGCACACTTTTTTGTACATTTCTTTGCCGTTGTTTTGCACGAGTACAACGTGAAACTTCCAGAAACTTCTTAGTTACACGTTTTATGGAGGGAATGTCGTACGTGTTATCGTTCACTGTTTTTTCACTGCCACTCATTTTCACCTTGCATTAGTGGCCGCTAGCATTTCTCATTTTCTCACCACCGCTACAAAATGTTCATGTTGTTTTCTTAACAAAAAAATGTCTCCATTGTTTTTCATCTCTCGCTCTAGATCTCTGTCGCCCTTTTTCTCGATGAGCTTCGCTGGCCTTTCGCCTGCTTTCTCTTTTTCTCCGTCTTTCCCTTTCTCTATATTCCACATTTGTGGACATGACATTTAATGTAACATTAATAATTTAGACAACACGGATACAGAAACAATTTCCGCTTTCCATTTTCGTCTTTGTCTCTGCTTTACAAGACGCGGGCGGCTATGCGATTTCCCGCCAAAATAACCTCGAGTTGCATTTGGGTTACCATACCTGTAGAATGAGTTATTTTACATTGGTATGCCTGTGGTGCGGACGGACGGTGGGTCGTTCGGTGTACGGTCACGTGATAACCAAATTTTCTAGATTTTTTTAGCTATGGGGCTATGCAATGCGCGCGCGCATGGAGCTCCGCTATCATGTCTAGAAAATAAAGTTATTCCTTTTCGAGCGTGAACTTAATAAGGTATCTAAGGAGCTCTTAACAACTGATGACTGGGCATTGGTACCGGGTAGCAGCAGAAAATGGTGCTCTGGTCCCATTGTGTAAATATTTGCCCTGTTTCACCGTGCTGGATGTCATTTTTAAACTTGAACGAAGCAGGAAGTTATGGGTATGTAAAGAAGTGAATGTCCCTGGAACTAACAGAAAATGCATGCACACACGAACCCGATACTTAATATTTAGTGTACGACAAGGCCTCGACCTTGTACTCGTGCACTGATACCTTGGCTGAATTCTGGCGTGGGTACTTGAGAAAAGGTGTCGAAACGAGTACCTAGCATTTGTAATCTGAAAACGCAGTGCGAACATCACCTAATACAGCACTTCACATAAACTACTCCATTGTGTAGTACCCTCTTTGTCATGAAAGGTCGAACTTGGGATCAATTTAGGTGTCTGGTAGACTGCAAAACAGTCGGTTTTTTTCTCAAAATCAGTCAAGAAATCGGTAAAGCGTGGCAGCGCGCGAGCCTCACACGCTCGTATTGCAGTCTCGCTCTCTGTTTTCAGCTGCGTTCCAGACCTTTTGTTTGACTGCTCGCGCGTACTTGAATACGCAAAAAATACGGACTGTTTTGCAGTCTAGGTGTCTGGGAAACTACCCACCTACCCCTCCCCTGAGCCATCATTTTGCCCAAAGAGAGAAGTTTAGTGTTAATGTCAGCTTAGGGGAGGGGTAGGTAGGAAGTTTCCCGGAAACCAAAATTGCTCCCAAATTTGTACATAACCTCGGGAGGGGGACACTTTAGAAATTTTTTGGTAAGGATTTTCCGCTGGGAACATGGTATCAGTAGCTTTTACCAGTGCTAGTTCAGCTGAATTTTGCTGCCCTATACCAGACCAACACTCAAAACCCCTCCCTATTTAGCCTGCGAGAGCATCCCGTTTTTTCGGCTCTTGTTTCTAGTTTCACCCACCGAGAAATTTTTCAGAGGAAGAGAAGCGACGACCAGAAATACGTCTGCGGTTCGCAGGCTACTCCCTATCCTAGTGTTGCTATTTTCAAAGATAGTCCTCTATCAGTGCTTTCTTTGTGATTGGACTGAGTTGCAGTTATTTACTGGTTTCATGTTTTAGGGTCAATTTTTGGTTTCCCTAGTCTAGACTGAAATCTTCCACCGATTAATCAGTTTCCTGGAAAATGATACCCTATTCTAGATCCAAACTCTCTAATTTCTATTCCGGCCCTGTCTTAGACTAAACTGCTTGAAAACCACGCCCTTCACAGCGGCACATACCTATATAGCCTATATTTAGAATGCTGCATCCCTTTTATCTGCTGTCAGTGAAGTGTCACTAAACTAGCCATAAAATGCATCTGTTAGCCAAATTTGGGTCCTTTTGCAAACCAAAATGACAGATTTCCCTGCCCCTTCACAGGCTTCAACTACTGAAATCCCTGACCTTTCATAATTTATACCTGAAGCATGAAAAAGGTACACCTTTCAGGCGGAGCCACCCCAACGGAATCTTACCTTTCTTCTCAAGATCACCGTTGGAGAGAAGTTCGACTTTCATTTCTCAATAATAATATCGGGCGCAAGTACTGACGAAATACTGACAAGCCTCTGAAACCAGACTAGAAGTTCTAGAACATTAATAGTTCACTCATTCACGAGTTTTGCTTACGTCAACCGCCTCATTTTGTCTTTGCATTCTCTTAGAATTAACATTTTACGTCTCACCAGAAAAAAGCCACAAGTGCGTTTAATTGACGCCTCGTGCATACGAATTCTATGTTGTGCTAATTTCAAGACAATGGGTACAAGGTGGCAAAAAGAGCACAACGTTCAAATGGGTTAGATATGATCGTTTTCCTTTGTCTTTTTCAAAAGGGAGCTCAACTAACGACGACGTTGGCTAAAACGTCTCTTAAAAAGTGAATTCAAGCTGTTTCAAATTTCACCGGTCTCTATATTCCTTGTTGCTCAGTTTATCAAATGTTGTATCGTTGTCTTGAATTCAAGTCCTCCACAAAACCACTGAAATAAGCCAGTGTCACGTCCTGGTCGTACAACGAGTACAAGGGAATCTACAAAAAAGTTGTTCTTCCAATCTCAGCCTACTGCTTTTTTTTGTTTTTTTGCTGTTCTCGTTGGCGTCGTCGTTGTCCTCACTTAAACTGCGCCCCTAATGAGGAGCCCAGCTTCCTGTTCTACCTTGACATATTTCCATGGTTTTCGAAAGCGTGAAAGCCTGCCTGCTCCCAGTGGTACAAATCACGCATAAATTTGGAAGCCCAGGCCAGTTATCTCAAAATTCCTTTTAACAAATTTGCGGTTAAACCTCACACAGCATAGGATAAGCATCATAAAACTAAAAGTATACGCTGCGTTGAGCATATTCCAGAGAGAACGCAGACGATGGCTACAATTCGATTAAGAGCCAAAACAATTGTGTTCCATTGTCAAGTGATTATTTATTCCGATCACGTTAAATTATTATCATAGGGTGAATTCATTTACACTATTGCTTAAGACCCGCTAGAATTTTT